AAAAAAAAAAAAAAAAAAAATTAAAAAAAAAATTATTAAAAAAAAATTAAAAAAAAAAATTTATTAAAAAAATTATAATTATAAAATTTTTTTTTTATAAAATAAAAAATATATTAAATAAATATCCAATTTTGATGATGGAAGGTTTTGGATAAATAAAAAATAATTTTAAAAACCAATATAAATAAAATAAAAATTTTAAAATTTCAATCATTATTTTATTAAATAAATAGAAAGAAATAACCCCATGAAGCTTTATAACAGTAAACTTATAAGGAACCCCCCCCAATAATGTAAATCACCCTTATCCAGTTTTAATTGTTTGGGTTCAAATTTAATATTTAAATAATATAAAACATATAGAAGAAATAAAAATGAAAACAGATAATTTAGAAATATTTATTGTAAAAATAATTTTATTTTTATTTTTTTTATTTTTTTAAACTTTTTTTTTTTTTTTCTTTAAATTTTTTTTAGATAATGTGTAGACCCACAGTTATTCAATTTTTTATGACAATAGCAATTGACTATATAGATCATAGTAGGCCATTTTTCATCTGTCACTTGTTTTGAATAGAATACATACTAAAACAACACATCCTATCTTCGAAAGTGAGTGGCTACCTTTAAAAATAAAAAAAATCAATCAAAATTGAATAAAGAAGTTTATATATTTGTGGGATATCAAAACTACAAAACTTTAAAAAAAACAATAAAATCAAAAACTGTAAAAATATAAAAAAAAATAAATAAAAAAATAAAAAAAACGAAATAAATTTTTTTTTTTTATAATTCCAAAATTTGTTTTTTATTTAATATTTTTTATTATTATTTTAGTTCACCAACGGTTGTCATTAGTTTTTTATCAGATTCTACAGTTCCAACAACACTCATTTTATCGGCTCTAGCACTGGCATCATCCATGAAATTTTCTTCAGAATATTCTTGATTTCTATTTTCTTTTCTTTTTCTTTCTAAAGATTTTAATTTGCTTTTAATTATGACAATTACTACTATGACGATTATTAAAAATGAACATAAAATGGTTGTGATTACTATGGTTATTTTTCTTTTATTATTAATTTTATTACCAGTATTATTGTCACCATCACCATCATTAATAATTAATTTTTTATCATTATTATTTTGATCACCACATGTTTTATTTCCATTTATTATATTACAAAAAGGTTGGCCTGATGTTATTTCTTTTGAAAAAACCGAATTTTGGGTGATATATCTAAGATTATAACCATGATGATCAATAGAGTCAGTAAAGTTAATATTACTGTTCATAATTGTGATATCACTATCATTGCTACATAACAAATGTGTAAAATCTTTATCTATATTTACATTGTTAAAAGTCATTACACCTTTAAATGGTAAATGCACTAATAACAATACACTTTGTTTGTTTATTAAAACATTGTCATAGATTTGGACATTGTTGAATGATGTGGTCAATATTGATTTTTCATTTGGGTTGGTTCTATTTATAAAGAATATATGGTTAAAATTTTGACCTGTGGGGGAACATATATATTATTACCTAAAAATATATTATTATAAAAAAATACATTTTTTAAATTTATAAAACCCCTTTGTTTGACTACACCCAATATAATAAATATTAAATCTTGTGTGTTATTGTAATAATGAAAATTGGTTAATTCAATAACGGTATCTTCATTATCTCTGATGTTATCTCTATTCCATTGACCAAAAAATGTATGACCATAGCCTTGGTAATAACTATTGAAAACAGCACAGTTTTCAAATTTTATGTAAGGCCCATAGTTTTCGATAGTAGAGCCGTTACAATTTGAAAAAGAACAGTTTAAAAAATTTACATTTTTGAAATATAGCTTTATAGGATTTGAAATTAATAAAACACCATTACCAATTTTATTAAACTGACAGTTTGAGAATTCTATTGTGGAGTTATTTATATATATTGTTTTATCTAAATAGTGGTTTCTTAAAAGACTTTTGGAGTTTTCGAAATTTACCGTTAAAAATCTAATTGTACTGAATCTAATGATATTATATCTAATAATTTCAAGATCCGTCATCCAGTTTATAAAGTCTAAACCTTGAATTTCTAGTAACCCGTTGATACACGCACTATCAGTTCTATTATCATAGCCCAATGAAATAAAGCTTTGGTTTTTATTTTGACCATTAATTGTAATTCTATTGGTTGGTAAATTATGACTATTAGCAACAATAATCTGAAGTTGACATATTTGAGGTAACTCCCCGAAATATTCATCATCGCTAATCATCATATTGGGTTCATCAGTAATTAAATAAAATGTAATTCTTTTATTATTTTTCTCTAAAACTCTTCCCAATTCACTTCCATAATTAATACTTGGACAATAGGAGCATTTACCGGAATAGCTACATGAATTACATTCATTATAGTTTAATAAATTACCAGTGCTATTTTTGAAATCAACATTAATAATATAGGGTTCTTCATATGATTTGATTTTACCAATATAAAATAAAATAAATAAAATAATAATAATATTTTTATTATTCATTTTATAATTTATTATATATAACTTTATTAATAAACAGGATAAAAGAGAAAATGAAAATGAAAAAAAAAAAAATTATAACACAATATTATTACTTTGTTCAAATTTTTTGAGGGTGGGGGGTTTAAAATTTTTTAACATGATTTCAAAAATTTTTTAATTGTTTTTAATATTGTTTTTTTTAATACATAATATTTAAATTTAAAAAGGATAAAAATATTATGCTTTTCCTTTTTTATTGTGTTGATAGAGCGTCTCCATTCAACACTCTGTAGTGTTTTAATATTTTTTTACCTTTTTGAAAACCTATACACCCACATTTTTATATGTTGTGTTAATAATAATTTTTTAATATTAGAGTTAAAAATAGTTTTTATTAAAAAGGGTTAAAATTAATTTTTTGAGGGGGAAAAAAATAATATATTGAAGAAAAACAATATGAATTGATTTGGATGAAAAAAATTATTCAAATCTATATCTTAAAAAACAACAAATAAAAGTAATGGGTGAATAAAAAAACAAACAAATAAATGTAATGAAAATTTGGCTTGAAAAAGCTAAAATTTTTTTAAAGCACTTGTTTCTTGTTGGTGCTGTTAAATAGTCTTTGATATATTTGGATGTTACACAATAGTTGATATGTTTATTTTATTTTTTTCTATATTTATATTCTATTTCTTTCAAATTTGATTTCTAAATAAATAAAAAAATAATAATCTGATTTAATATCAAATATTATAAAGAAAAAAATAAAAATGATATATATAAAGAGCATATAAATATATATTAATTTTTTAAAAATTTTTTTTTTGAAATTATTTCTTTCTTTTTTTTTATATATTTTAATTTTTTTTTTTTTTTTTTTAATGATATGCTTTAATAATCTAAAATAATTATTTTGGTCCAATAAAAAGATAGCTTTAATGCTAAAAAATCCTTGATAGTTTTAATGCTAAAATTTTTTATATGTCTTAATGCTAAAAAATCCTCGATAACTTTAATGCTAAAAAATCTTTTATATGTTTTTATGCTAAAAAATCCTAGATGGCTTTAATGCTAAAAATCCTCGATAGTTTTAATGCTAAAAATCCTCGATATTTTTTGATAATATTTTTAATTATTTTTTATTTTTTATACTATTGGCCACTCTTTGTAAAGAGTGTTTCCAGCTCTACCACGGGGAGGTTAGTATATTAGAGCCGAATGGTTAATTATGTATCCCACCACGCAGAATACATAATTAACCACCATATTGATAATAGTGTGAAGTGAAGTGTAGTGTGTGTTTTTTTTTTTTTGTTGTAAAATATGTATCCCACCACGCAGGATACATAATTAACCACCATATTGATAATAGTGTGAAGTGAAGTGTAGTGTGTGTTTTTTTTTTTTATATATTAAATTTTTTTTTTTCTTTTTTTTTTTTTTTTTTTTTTTTTTTTTTTTTTTTTTTTTTTTTTTAATTTGAATTTACCTGAATGTGTATAATGAAAAAAAATAAATTTTATGAAATTATTTTCTTTAAATACTTTTTAGTTTTTTTAATAAAAATATAAAAAAAAAAAAAATTTAATTTAAAATTAATTAATTAATTAATCTATAACTATTTCCTAATTTATTTAAAACATCAATTCCAAAATAAGTAAAATTTGTATTGCAAAAAAAAATGTAGATCTGCTACAATCAAAATTGGTAATCATTTGAAACAGGGGAGGTTTTTTTTTTCAAAATTTTTAAATTTTCAAATAAATTAAACACATCTTCCTTTTAAAGAAATCATTTTTCCATTTATATTATTTTATTATAATTCATTTCATAATTGATATTTGGAAAAGGAATAAAGTAAGAATTTGGTAGTTCATTATATGATAATGAAATTGGTATGATAGATGAATGAAAATACATTAAAAAAAAAAAATTTACTTAATTTTATAAATTAAATTTTTTTTTAAATTTCTTTAAAATTTTAAACTTTTTTTTTATTTTTTTTTAATTATAAAAACCTCAACCAATACAAAAAAGTCGAATTATTGTTTTTTTATTTTTGATTATCCATTTTTATCGTTTTTTATAAAATCTTGTAGATGGTCTAAAAAAGATTAACGATAACGATAATTTTTAATCACTAATTTTTACTAATTATTAATATATAGCTAAGGAGGAGCTGGTTTAATTATTTTAAAAGCAACAGCAACCTCACCAGAGGGAAGAATCAGCTATAGTGATAATGGATTATGGAAGGATGGACAAAAGGAGCAATTAAAAAGAGTTATAGATTTTTGCAAAATCTTTGGTCCACATATGGGTATTCAAATAGCTCATGAAGGAAAAAAAGCATCAACTGAACCCCCATTTCTTGGACATAGAAACAAGGTTTACCATTTGATGACCCTAAAGGATGGAAAGTTGTAGGTCCAAGTGAAGTTGCACGGGATGAAAATAGTCAAGTACCACATGAACTATCAATTTCAGAAATTAAAACAGTTATTAATGATTTTAAAAACACAGCACGCAGAGCATTACAATGTGGCTTCGACTTTTTAGAAATTCATATTTTGAATGTTACACAATATTTGATATTTTAATGATTCAATAAAATACTTAACCTATAATCATAATACAATAAATCTAGATATTATTGAATGATCCAATCCAATTTAGAGAAATTTTAATGAATTCAAAATAATTAATCAACATTCCCATAAAAATATTTATAATTTTTCACTCTATCCTTTTAAAAATTAAATAATCATTGAAATATTGAATCAAGGCCATCCAACCCCAAATCTATTGATAATTTTTTTTTTTTTTTTTAAAAGTGAAGATAATTAAAAGCAAATGCTTTAAATTAATCAGTAGAATATTGATAATTAAAAACATATCAGATGAACATAACTTTAAAAGTTCATTACATTACATTACATTACATCTCATATAATCAAGGGTAATCAAGGGTAACATCACCCAAAAGATAGAATTTTTATTAAAGATTGTTGTCTGAGGGATTCGAACCCTCGCATCAATGATATTGCAGCCTTAATGCAACCCCTTAGACCAACTCGGGCAAAACAACGATGATATATTTTTATGTAATGAATCAGTAGTTTATCTTTAGGGTGATTATATTTAGCCACGTCAACATTATAGCCACGTCAATATTAACCACCTCAGTATATAAGCAAAAAAGTATTTAAACTCAAAAGAATATAATTTTATAGTCAGTTAATTTTAGAGTTGTTTTAGAGTTAGTTTAGAGATAATTTTATAGATAGTTTTATAGATATATATAAGTAATAAAGATAATTAATAAATAAAGTATATTTTAGTGTTATTCGCATTCTCATAATTGTTTTAAGTAATTTTAAGTAATTTAAGTGTTTTAGTGTTTATTATTTAGTTAGTGTTAATATATTTTGTTGCGTCTCCATAAGTGTTTATTTTAGAGTTCATTATATTTTCGTTAAGTATTTTATTTGTGTAACTTCGTCATAATCATATACCTTTTCATTACATTTGGCGACAGCTCATCAGAACCACATAAAAATTATAAAGGGGTAGGAATAAAGATAGTTTTAAAAAGAAATTCTCATAGTTATATTTTTACAATCACAGCATATTTTCGTAAAAATTTTATAAAAAAAAAAAAAAAAAAAAAAAAATAAAATAAAATAAAATAAAATAAAAATTATAAAAAAAAAAAAAAAAAAAAAAAAAAAAATTTAAAAATAAAATAAAATTAAAAATTCAAAATGTCAAAAAATACCACAATTAGTAACAACAATAGTAAGGATGTCAACCCTATTAATAAAAGTAGTAGTCAACTTTTAAAAAATAATTACAGTGAAAGTAGTAGTAGTAGTAGTAGTAGTAGTAGTAATAAAACAACAACAACAAATAATTTAAGTAATATTAGTCCACCAATCAAAAAGGAAGATGACCCAAGTTTAGAGTTCAATAATTTTAGTAATGATGCTCAAAATTTAAATACAGGAAGAAGAAGTGTAGAAGGTGATGAGTTTAGAGAATATTTGTTAAAAGAATTATCTATACTCAGGTTGGAGAATGAAAGGTTTAGAAGCCAAAATTATGGTTTTGAAAGAAGAAAAAAGCCACTATCAGAAGATGTAAAATTTGAAGGAGGCTTTTCAATGGGCTTCGAAAAAACATGGGATTTATTCGAGTTCCAATTTAGATATCACTTCGGTCCCCGTTTTGATAACACAGATTTAATTTCAAGTTTAAAAAGTGATGCGCTAATCTATTTACAAAGGATGGACCCAAATGGTAATAATTCTGCGGAAGAGAATTTATTACAATTAAGGAAACAATACCAAGACCTTCCAACCACTTTGTTACTCAAATTCAGCGAATTTACCAGAACAGGTAAATTTGAATCATTAGAGCGATTATTATTAGTTTTTGATACAGTTCGTTCAAGGGTAAAATTATCAGATGATGCTGCAATGGTTACACTCAAATCAGCTTTAGGTATTAACTTCTCAAAAGCTTTAATGGTAGATGTTTCGGACATCGAAGGTTACTCATCATTTCAAAAGTTTAGTGAAAAAATTGTTCGTCTCGAAAAGAATTACCAACTAACAATGGGCAAATCTCTTTATCTACGTCAAGACGAAATCCAGGGTATATTTGGTGCCAGTGTATCAAGTTCAGGACTAACTTCAGTTGTCAGTAATACAGTAGCTGCAGTAGAGGTCAAAAGAAATAGTGAATTTAGATGTTTTATTTGTGGGAATCCAGGTCATTTAGCTAGAGAATGTAGAGAGAAGTATAATAGTGATAGTGATAGAAGAAATAATAACCCACCAAGATATAATAATTATAATCAGCAAAGATATAACGGTAATAATAATCAACAAAGATATAACGGTAATAATAATAATCAACAAAGATATCACAATAATAATCAATTAGAATACAATAGTAACCAGTTGGAATATAGTAATAATAGATTTGAAAATAATTTTAATAAATTTAATGAGGATAGTAGATTTGGTAATAACAATAATAACAATAGATCAAATAACAATGACTACAAATCAAATCATAGTTACAATAGAAATAATAATAGAAATAATAATCAGATAAATAATATAGAAGAGGATGAATATCATACTAATAATAATAATTGCGGTTCCTTTATTGATGGTTATGATACAAGTGATAATGTGTCAACTCTTAATAGCATTAATAATATAAGTAGAAAGGATAACATTTGTGCAAACCTTAAGTTTAATGGTCGTCCAATCAGAGTTCTAGTAGATACAGGTGCAAGCATTTCATGTATAAGAGAGTCATTGGTTGAAAAGTTAAATCTTCCAATTCGTCCAAGTTTAAAGAAAGTCACAAATGCAAGTAACCATGTAATGGCCACTCAAGGTGAAGTCGTATGCCAAGTCCAGATGAGTGATCAAATCAAATCAAGTATCAGTTTCGAAGTTTTTAAGGATCAAGACATTTCAGCTTCTTGTATTCTCGGTTTAGGAGCTTTAAAGACTCTTGGTTTAAATCCAATTGTTACAGAAATGAAGTTATACTCGTTTAGGCACAAACAATATGTCCCAATGTATTCTCACATGGAACAGCCAGTTCAAACAATTGTCGACACTCCAATCAATACTAATTTAAGCGAGCATGCTTCTGTTAATCAAAACCTATTCGACTCACTTATTATTCCACCAGAAGAAATTTATAGAGTAAATCGTGTGCACGCCCAGCCAACAGTGTTACCTTCCGAGCAAGTCCAAGAACCATCATCAAACAAAGTCGATTCATCATTGGCAAGTAATTTATTTTTAATTAATAATCAATCTCCAATAGAAAATAATAATATTCAATCACAGCCAACAAAAAATAATAATAATAGTAATAATTTTCAATCATCATCAACTCATAACAATAATAATAGTAATAGAGATAATCAACAATCACCATTAGGTCACAATAAAGATAACGGTAGTCATAATAATAGTAATAATAATAATAATAATATTAAAGTCGAAGATAGTGTCAAATTCAATAAATATAGCATACAATTATTAGAGAAGATCGTTTTTGGTCCAGAGCCACCCCTAAAAGGAATAGGAATACTTCCAGGTATAGATGTTAAAGTAGCTCCAGATAGTTCAATTATTCTCACACCTCAAGAACAAGCAAAATTTGATCAATTAATTAAGTATTATTCAGAAATTAAGTTAGAAAGCTTAAGGAAAGCAGGTCAAGCAGAAGGTATATCTCATAGCATTCCACTCATAGACGGTACAGATAAATCAAAACCTCATCAAGAACCATACCCAGTATCACAAGTCCAAAAAGCTGTTATGGACGTTAAAGTTCCAGCTACTCAAAATTCATCAATTCCAGACAAGATTAAGAAACCAATCGTAGGCCCATATCGTATTACAGCTAAGACCAATGATAACAATCTCACAGCCAATATGGAATCAGTTCATCATCCAAATTTCAATGTCGGTAGCCCTCAGCTCTTTTCAAGGGTGAGATATGTAATGAATCAGTAGTTTATCTTTAGGGTGATTATATTTAGCCACGTCAACATTATAGCCACGTCAATATTAACCACCTCAGTATATAAGCAAAAAAGTATTTAAACTCAAAAGAATATAATTTTATAGTCAGTTAATTTTAGAGTTGTTTTAGAGTTAGTTTAGAGATAATTTTATAGATAGTTTTATAGATATATATAAGTAATAAAGATAATTAATAAATAAAGTATATTTTAGTGTTATTCGCATTCTCATAATTGTTTTAAGTAATTTTAAGTAATTTAAGTGTTTTAGTGTTTATTATTTAGTTAGTGTTAATATATTTTGTTGCGTCTCCATAAGTGTTTATTTTAGAGTTCATTATATTTTCGTTAAGTATTTTATTTGTGTAACTTCGTCATAATCATATACCTTTTCATTACATTTAAAAATTTTTCGATTTCTTTGGAGAATTAAATATGGATTCGTTTATAATTTTTAAAAGCTTAATAATTAAATTAATTTGCTAAAAAAACCTAAAAGTAAATTAATAAAAGTAGTGTAACCTTTGTTTCATTCTTATTGAAGGAATAGGTTAAAAGTTAGTGGTTAACAATGAATAAAAAAAAATTAATTAATTTAAACTACTGTATATCAAAAATATAATAATAAATAAATCATATGTTTTAATTGTAGTGTAAAATAAAATTTTATTTAAAAAAACTTTGAAAATAAATTATTAAAAGCTTATTATATTATTATTCTTTTATATAACAATTTTTTTATATTTTAAAAAAAAAATTAAAAATTTTTTATAATTAAAAAAAGAATTAAATAAATATTGTATTTCACTCAGTAAAATAATAAAAAAATAGTTTTGTTTAAAAATTTTTTTAAATATAATTATAAAAACAAATTTTTTTTTTATAAAATATTCAATCTATATCAATCAAATTAATTTGTATTCAGAAAAGTTTAATTGCTTCCATTTCGTATTTCACCTTTCAACTTTCAAAAAATGAGTGTCTCTAATACATTAAAAACAAGTTTTATTTATTTATAATCAGGACAACACCATTGAAAATTTTTGGATTTCAAAATCTCAAAGATGGAAACCAAAATTAAAGGCTCAAAAGATTTTGATTATGGCATTTATTGGAAAATTATTATCTATTGCTTTATTGAAATTTTTGTTTGAAAATTATATGATATGATGAATCATTTTCATATGCTAAATCTCTTTCATTCAACACTTTGGTAGATAAATCATTGTGTTATGTTTATTTTGCAGCATTCTCAATTATGGTTATTTAATTTTTGCTAATTGATTTTTATTATTTAGCTTTTATGTTATTTGTAATTAATCGATAAAGTTCCGTAGCCTCCACTAAATATTTGAATTCCATATCCTTACTAAAGCTCTCTAACAGTTAGATTAAAACAACCCTATTTTTTTTGTATTAAATGCTAACCACTAATTTTTGCCCTACCCCTTCAATATGAAGAGTGCAAAGGCTAACCCGATTTTTATAATTTTTTTTGTCATTTACTTTCAGGTTATTGAATTTTAATTTTTTTTTTTTTTTTTTAAAAATAACGTTTTTGTATTAATTGCACCACGAATTTTTGACTTACCCCTTCAATAAGAATGGTGCAAAGGTTAACACGACTTTTAATTTATTTTTAAAAGAATTTTTAGTAATTTACTTTTGATTATTTAATTTTTGCTATTTAATTTTTGTTGATTAATTTTTTTTGGTAATTTTTGTTATTTATTTTTTATTTGTAATTCATCGATAGAGCTCTGTAGCTTTCCAGGTGTATCGGTATTTTCACTCTAAATATATCTGAACTCTATATCTTGCTAAACTTATCTAGCCTGTTGACTATCTTCATTGTGTGGTGTCGCTGGCTAGCTGGATCTTGATATCTTTTAGCTTTGCAAGATTTTAAAAACAACCGTAAAAAAAATTTTTTTCGGGTACCAGTATATTCATGTTGTTTTGCCCGAGTTGGTCTAAGGGGTTGCATTAAGGCTGCAATATCATTGATGCGAGGGTTCGAATCCCTCAGACAACAATCTTTATTATCATCATATCTTTTGGGTGATGTAAGTATTGAATAATTTCCGAATCACACGAATTGACATTACCGTGCCCAACTTGTAAGCAGTGTGGTAAAACTCATATAAGTATTAAACACATACCAAACAAAAACAAAATAAACAAACTGATGACTAAATATATCATTAAGAATCATCACTTTTAAAAAAAAAAAAAATACGATCTTGTTCAAAAGTTGTTTTTAATGGCGTTAAAAAAAAAAACTATTTATTTAATTATGATTGAGTATTAAGTACAAGGAATAATCTCATCAATCTTTAAAATTGAAGTTACTATTTCGGTAGCCATTGAAATCTGTGCCATTTTATTTGATAAAGTTTCCAATACACCAAAGTCAAACATGTCACCAATTTTATTTTTTTTCAGGTCTATACCAATATCTGAACTATTATTTGAATTTATATGAATATTTTTTATTTGTAAAGCTATTTCTAAATGATTATCCATCCCAGAATTATAACACAGGGTTTCTGCTATTTCTTCTAAACTTTCTGCAAATGCCATCATTGCTACTAACTCTTCATTATTAATTTTACTACTATTATTTTCTCTACAAAAATCTAAAATCTTTTTTGATGCCTCTATTTCACATGCACTACCACCAGGTACCACTTTTGGGTCTCTAATTAAATTTCTTAAAACACACAAAGCATCATGAATAGCTCTTTCTGTTTCATTTAACTCCATTGTTGTTGTACCCCTTAATAAAATTGTTGGTAAAATATAACCATTATTATTACTATTATCGAAATGAATCAAACTTTTGTTATTTATAACTTGATAACTAATAGATCGAAAACTTTTATAAAAACTATTATTATTTTCATTATTGATTTTTATTGATTTTAATTGATTTTGATTTACTATAATTGGTATATTTAATTTTGATGAATAATTTAAAAGCTGGTCCAAAGTAAAAGGCTTTAATACTGAAATTTTCGCTTTATTGAAATATGACAATGCTATATTTGAAATCATAAATTGTGATTGAGAATGATTTAAATCCTGAACCAATCCAACTACTGATATTCCTAATTTTTTTAATAAAACTATAATTGACTTTATATTACTTTCTTCTTCTTTTAAAATAAACTCTATATTACTACTGTTATTATTTAAATTCTTTTAAAAAAAATTAATTCAAAAATTAAAAAATAAGAAAATTAAAATAAATGTTTTTAATTACCTTAGTTAAACTAAAATTTAAAAAAACAATATTAAAATGATTATTTAAAGATGATTGTTTAGGGTAAAACGGAGTTATAAATGAATGCTCCATTATAAAATATGGAAATATTAATGAATCTTCAACAGATCCACCTTCTATTGAAACTATATTGATTAAATTTGTTGTAATATTATTCATATTATTACTATTACTATTATCTATATTATTGATATTATTGTTGTTATTATTGCTGCTGCTGCTATTGTTATTTAAAATCATTAAAGTTGAATCAACTATTAATCTATATTTAAAATAATAAAAAACCATTAATATTAAAAAACTTTAACAAAAAAAGATAGTATGCATACTTTGATAAAATTGGGTTTGTGTGGGAAATTAATTTTGAATTTAAAGTGGTTTTACAAACCTTTGTCATTAAATCAATACCCTGAGGAGATTGAATTGTGAATGATTTTGATTGTGAAACAATGGAATCCAATGTTATTTTGCAAGCCTTAATAAAACCATTTATTATTTTTATTGGGTGAATACCTCTTGAAATTGCAAAACCTAAACTTGTACCTTTTAATAATTTTAGTGATTTTCTTAATAAAAATGAACTTAAAACAACAACCGAAGTGGTACCGTCACCATTTTGATTATCCATCGATTGACTTAACTCCACCATCATCTTTGATGCTGGGTGATCCAATTGTATTGATTTTAAAACTGTACATCCATCATTGGTCACAACAATTTCACCATATCGATTAGTAATTAATTTATCTCTACTTTTAGGTCCCAATAGTGACTTCATTATATCCCCAATAGAAACACATGCTATAATATCTTAATAATAATAAAAATAACACCAATAAATTTAAATCAATATAATTTTTATAATATATTATAATAATAAAAATAAAAAAACCTACTGCTATAGATTGCATCATTCCCTTTTAAACTATTTATATTATAACCTTCTTCATTTAAATTATGATTATATTGTGTTAATAATTTATCCATTAAAGTCTATTATATGATACATGTTCGTTTTATTTGTAAAATAAAAAAATAAAAAAAATTAAAAATAAAAAAATAAAAAAAATAATTTGAAAAAAAAAAAAAAACAAATAAAATTATAGTAAAAAATGGTAATGAAAATTGATTTAAATTTTATTGTTTTTAATTTTAAAATAAATGATTTGGTTTGATTTCTAATAGGGTGATTATTATTTTTATTTTTATGAAAATATTTTAATTATAGCATTAAAAAACAAATTGACTATAATATTTATAATGTATAAGGGGGAGATAAAATTTTATTTTATTTTTTTAAATAATAATTAATTTACAATATAATACATCCTCTCTTTTTTGGAGGGGACATTTCTTCATTTTCTGGATTTTGATTCCATCTTTTAATTTCTCTAACAAGAGTGAAAAAGGCCTCTTCAACATTAACTCTTGATTTGGCACTGGTCTCTAAAAATGGAGCGCCAAAACTTCTTGCCAATTCTTTACCTTCCATTGGTGGGACTTTTCTATCTTTATCTGGTAAATCTGCTTTATTACCAATAATTACAATTGGATAAGTTGAGAGATCTTTAACTCTAAGAATTTGATCACGAAAAGATGAAACAGCTTCAAAGCTAGGTCTTGATATAATACTATAAACAATTAAAAATCCTCTACCTATTATATGTATGAATTGTATTTGTTGGTATTAGATAATGAGTATATATGACAATAAATATTAATATTAATATGTTCCAATTTCCAAAAACCTACCTGATCTAATATATTGATCTCTCATAGCAGAGTATTCTTCTTGACCAGCAGTATCTAAAATATCTAACATATAAACTTCATCATCAATATTAACTTGTTTACGATAAGAGTTTTCTGTTTGTTGTAAAGAAAAAAAAAACCATTAATATAAAATTATTTCGTCGTCTTTGATATATATTTTATAATAACCTACCTATAGTTGGATCATATTCTGCAATGAATTGATTTTGTGTTAATTGAATGGTTAAAGCTGATTTACCAACACCACCATCACCAACAATAACAAGTTTTAAAAGTTTTGACATTTTTATTTGATTTGAAAAAAATTAAGATTTACTTGGGATAATTAATTACACGAAAAAGGATAATATTCTTTTTTTTTTTCTATATGATTTGATTTACAGGTTATTTTGGTTTATTTGTGTTTTGAAATTAAAAACTTGACTCTATATATTAATCTGCTAAGTTTAATTTCTTTGTTGTTTTTGTTGTAATTGGTTAATCAGAAACAATTTTTTTATAAAATTTCTAAATTTCTTGATTTAATAATTATTAAATTAAAATATATATATTTGTAATAGTACAGAAACTAAATAAAATTTTAAAAAAATGGTGTCAATAAAATTTTGTTTTTTTTTTTAAAAATTAGATATTATATTTTATAAAAAATAAATAAAACAAATTGTTTAATCCAATACAATACAATACAATATAATATATAAATAAATAAATAAATGTATTATAAAAAAATTTAAAATTTAAAAAAAAAAAAAAAAAAAAAAAAAAATTAACGTCAATTTTAAAAAAAAAAAAAATAAAAAAAAAAAAAAAAAAATT